TGAGTAATGAAAATTCAGCTTTGCCATCACAGGAATGAATAGCATTTTACAATATATTAAAATAGAAACAGTTATTTTAAATTGTAAAAAAAAAATCACAGTATTACTGTTCTTCTGCATTTCTACATCAAATAAATGCAGCCTGGTGAGCTAGGGATATGCCGGTATCAAATTCTCATGTTGCGATTAATTGCTTATGCTTTTATCACGGTATACGGTATTATCACGATATTGATATTTAGTTTTAAAAAAAAGTGCTGTCATAATACAGTATAACAGGTTTAATAACTTTTTTTCTTATAACAAAAATAACTGAACATTTAAATGCAATAAAGCAATACAGAAAAATGTATAAAGTTAAAAGTTTTACACAGATTAAAGTGCAAAAGAACTATAAAGACCAATAGGTATCACTTTACAATAAGACCTCATTAGTTAACCTTAGTTAATGCATTAACATTCACAATGAGCAATAGCTACATTTGCTACAGAAGTTATTAATCTTTGTTTAAAAAATACAAGTCTTAGTTCATGTTAGCTCATTAAATAACACAGCTGCAACTCTCGATTTTAACATCCTGTTATTAAATATTGGAATACCTAAGATTAATGAATGTTCAGAAGAATTTTTCATTGGCAGTTTGTTAACTAATGAATTAACTAATGTTAACTAATGAAGCCCTAATGTAAAGTGTGACCGAACAATAAAGAATCAAAACACTTTCAAACAATATTTAGGGCATGTTGTAGTCCAGATTAAAATGTAAAAAAAAGTTTGAAAATAAATAGCCTATTAAGTCTAAATATTTAAGTATTTGGCGCTGTGATGAACATCATAGCAAATACACAAATCTGAATGGCTGTTTAAATCATTTAAACATGATTCAGAAACGGAAAGTAGTGCAGCTGCTTTGTTTACAGGGTTTCCGGGGTAACGGCTGCATTTAAATTAATTATTATTATTATTATTATTATTATTTCTGCAGTTTAGCGCCATCTGCTGTCAGAGAGTGAAAGTGCGCTTTCATCCAGAGCGTCTCTCACATGTTCCGCCATGTGCTTCTCGTCCGCGCTTGTTTACATCAGAGTGCGCACGCGTCTTTCACGCAGCATACAGTGGATGTTGTGCATTTTGACCAGTTGATGGGAAAAGTATTCTTAAAATAATCAGTTTTTGTAATATATAATTATTCACGGTATTTAGAAGTGCCCACAATAACAATATCGTGCATATTCATTACCGTGATATATATGCCATTACCGAATACCGGCACAAGTCTATGGTGAGCATAAGAGACTTCTTTCAAAAACATAAAAAGTGTCTATATACAAGATATTAATCAGATGTTCAACAAGCTGTTTAAAGAAGAACACAATACTTTTCCTGATCACAGAATTCTGATTGACCTTTATATGCTCACTGGGTACTGACATTTATTTATTTTGGATAACCCGGCTATTTTTTAAATATGTTTGAAGTTTTAATTGGCGAATTGGTTTAATGCAATATTTTGACACTATGTGTATTGAGGGAGATTGGTGTCAGTGAGTGCACATTAGCAATGTTATATGCATTGGCGAAGCTGTTGATGAATTAAGATCTTGCCATCTGTTGAGTAGGCGGGGGAGAGAAAGAATGAGGATCAGGGTTGGGCAGGAGAGGGTGGAGTGGGCATGTATCTCTGACTGGGGAGGCCGTGACATACAGAACTAAATATGTTATTAACTGCACACCATAATCAAACACACTGAAGTAAAAAAAAAAAAACTGAGTGGGATAACACTGCACATGCTTTAGCTATTATCCTGTCATAGTGTGTTGTGTTTCATAAATGTAGACTAATCAACCTAAGAATAAATGATATCATGCGTTGCTTTTCCTGTTTACAAGTTATGTGAATGTGTTTGTCATCATGTGCTTTGTAAACTGACCAGTTTTTGACTCCTTCCAGGGTTCCACAGAAATGAAGACATGAAGGCCATTGAAGTTCTTCCCATCCTTAAAGAAAAGGTGGCATTCTTATCAGGTGAGCCTATATATTATTCTATATATTGGGTTTCCTAATCTAGTTGTCTAATAAATCTGGCATTGTGTACTACAGCGACTGTTGGCTCTTTGATTAATTGCTTTGTTCCTCTTTTGTAAGTCGCTTTGGATAAACGTGTCACATTTATGCATGTCTTAATGCATAAATGTAATTGTTACTGACCCCAAAAGTAAGATTTTTAGGAAATTAATACTTTTATTCAGCAAGGGTGCAGTATTTTGTTTAAAAGTAACTGTAAAACATACTGTAATGTTGCAAAATATTTCTATTCTGAACTATATTTATCAAAGAATCTGGAAAAAAAGAAATCCTGAAAATGTATCGTGGATTCCACAAAAATATTAAGGAGCACATCTGTTTTCAGTATTGATAATAATAGGAGATGTTACTTGAGCACCAAATCAGAATATTGGAATTATTTATGTGACACTGCAGACTGGAGTAATGGCTGCTGAAAATTCTGCTATATATATTTCACAGTATTACCTTTTACTGAATTTTTGATCAAATTAATGTAGTAAGCATACAGAAGGGGCTTCTTTAAAAACATTTATATCTCTTGCCAATCCCAAACTTTATACCATGGTACCATGTCCAAAAAAACATCATAGTTAAGAAAGGAGTGAAAAAGAAACTGTTGATTCCCGCTCCATTCTAAGCCATTTATTTAGAAGTGTTCGCTCCTTATCCAAAGGCCCGGATTTCTATGAATATTAACGAGAGGAAACTTATTTGCAGTGACAGTCATTAACACTCTGAGATATGTGAGCTCAAAGGCAGAGCAGCATCGCTGGGGAAATGTAGTCAGTGTTTTAGCTGGCTGCTGACCCTGATAGCTTACGGACATCTTAATCTTTGGCAGGCCAACTTGCTTATCGTCAGCTCAGCTTGTCTAAGAAGAGATATAACTCATTTTCAATTTTACCCTTCTTCCACCTCTGCACTTCAAAGTAAGTGTAATGGAAGTTGGTATGCAATAACGATATGAAGCAATGATATTACGTTAACAATGATATGAGGCATCATATTCTGCATTAGACAAAAACCGCGGCTAGTCAAACTGTTTTATCCATAAATGGCCAACTTGGCATGGTTGACTATGATAAGTAGGCCATGGTGTTCCAAAGCATCACTATATACAGTAGGTAGGCTAGTTGGACTCAGTTTTGTTTCTTAAGATTGGCCATTGCCCTATTTTTACTAATGCTTGAGTGGCACAGATGTTGTTGTTCCAGTCAAATATATAGTGTGTTGATTTGGCCTTCAGGTGGAAGAGATCGCCGTGGAGGGCCAGTCCTTACATTTCCAGCCAGGAGTAACCATGACAGAATACGACAGGAGGACCTCAGACGACTTATTGCGTACCTTGCAGGCATTCCCAGGTATGCAGTGTGTGTGTGCGTGTGTCTTTATCTGTGGGAACATTATTATGCAACTAAAGTTGCTGTCGTAATAGATCAGGTTCAGCCATTTGAAACATTGAGGGATTGATCCCATGGCAGCACAAGTGTGGAAGTCAGCCAGCTGCTGGAATTCTAAAATAACAATTCAGTCACCATTGTGTTCACCCTAGCTGCTCAAGGAAAGATAGACCAGCATTTGATCTATTTTTGGCCATTTCATTTAAAATCGGCCATTCAGTAAAGGTGCAGTCACAACTTTGCTGGAGAAAATCAGCTAAACCAGTCATTTCAATAGAAATCCATGTGATCGAGAAACCCAACAGTTTGATGTCAGTATGATTAGTTATTATATTATATTATATTATATTATATTATATTATATTATATTATATTATATTATATTATATTATATTATATTATATTATATTATATTATATTATATTATATTATATTATATTATATTATATTATATTATATATTTTTTTTTTGTGAAAGAAATTAAAGCAAAAAAAAATTCAGCAAGGATGCAGTATATTGATCAAAGTTAACAGTAAATGTATACTGTTACAAAATATTTCTATTTACAATTAGAACCTGTTGTTTTGAATTTTATATTCATCAAAGACTCCTGAAAAAAAAAGAAAAAAAAAATTATCATGGTTTCCACAAAAATATTAAGCAGCACAACTGTTTTCTACATTGAAAATAATAAGAAATGTTACCTCAGCACCAAATCAGCATATTGGAATGATTTCTGAGGGATCATGTGACACTAAATCATGTAAACACAGGGTTACACTTTATTTCGATAGTCCACTTTAGACATTCTACTAACTATAAGTAACTTTGTAACTACATGTCAACTACATGTCAACTAATTCTCATTAATTTGCAACTACATGTCTACTAACTCTCAGAGTAGACTGTTAGGGTAGGTTTAGGGTTAGTAGAATAAGTTGACAAAGAAAGTGTTAGAAGATATTAAGCAGACAGTCTACTAATACTCTACTAACTGCTAGTTGACATGTAGTTGCAAAGTTACTTACTGTTAATAGAATGTCTAAAGTGGACTATCGAAATAAAGTGTTACCAAACACAGTTACCACTCTGTTTACTTTGCCATATCTAGTGCCATAAATACCATAACACTTTCTTGTAGATATAATTTTGCTAAGCTATATATAGGAATCAGAATATAATAGAGACTTGTGAGTTGTGAAGTGAATGCTAGGGCAGTCTGTGTTTCTAGGTTGTTGCTAGAGTGTTTGGGTGGTTGCTATAGAATTGAGACAGTTGCTAGGGTGTTTTGGTGGGTTACTAGGATGTTTCTAATGAAATTAAATTCACAAGCAAGTTTTCATTTTGTTTAATTTAATTTCTTTTCATATTTATATTCATAGACATGTCATGCCTATGGCAAGGAGATGGCTAAGCTTTCCTCGGTCTTACACACACTTTAACACTCAGAATACTTGCATACACCTTAGCATTGCAGTAAGCATAATTTGCATATTGCATTTTCTTCAGAAAACATTAAAGTCTAGTTAATGTATTTTTGCCAAGTCCTGGTTTTGGTTTTTAATTTTTGGTTTTGAAGCTCCCTGCTTTCTGGTTTGTTTAGACATCACATGGCTAATTTGCCTTTTCCCTGTTGTGTCCTTCATGTAGTAAGCATTGATTTGACTTAGGTTCCAGCTCTGCACAGTTCAAAACTTTATATAGGTTATCATCTGCCGCAGGGTTCTCCCAAACTTTACTTCTGTTCTGTTGTCCATAATCGCTTTGTTTGAGCCACACTGAATAATACAGAAATGAAACTTCATATTCTCGACAGCTGTAAACTCATTTTTTTTCACTTTTGTACAGAATGTGGTGGCGGTTTGAAAATGAATAATGCACCTCTGACTAGAGATGCACCGATCGACCGGCCAGGGACCGGAATTAGCCGATTTTTTTGCATGATTGGCCCGGACCTGTGGCCAGCTAGTCAGTCTGCAGATTCCTAGCCGGTCCGTTTTGACGTCACACCTACTCTCACATCCGCATGTAAACATGTCGTCGGCATGGAAGTTCTTCACTGTGAGTGAAGAAGACACAAAGTTCACAATTTGTAATACGTGTAACGTTAGGGCCAAAGTAAACCGTCGGGGAGCCACAAGGCTCGATTAACGCTTGTCTGGGACAAGTAGATTTTTTAAAGGCAAGTGAGAGATAATACTTGCCCGACTGGACAATGAATGACTAAATGACTCACTCATTAAAACAGTCATTTGCCGCCACCTACTGGTGGTTTGGTTTCATATTTAAAAGTATCATTGCATTTTTCCCAACATTTCTTATTTGTATGTTCCAAAAAAATTATTAAAAAAATGTATTTACGCATTTGCAATTTTGCGGTGTAAATGCATTTATGGCACCTCAGCTTCATCAAACGCCACTTCAGATGCATCTTCTGTGTTTCCTATAGTGGAAAGATGGAGTTTGTTGATACTGATTTCATTTGAATGGTAACAACTCTACAGTTTATAATAATAATAATTTATGCATTTAGTAGACGCTTTTATCCAAAGCGACTTACAGTGCATTCAGGCTATACATTTTTTTACCAGTATGTGTGTTCCCTGGGAATCGAACCCACGACCTTTTGCGCTGCTAACTCAAAGCTCTACCACTGAGCCACAGGACACAAAAACTGGTTCTGTTTATTGTATTAGAAATGTGTATATATGCTTAACTTATATTTATAGTTTATTATATTATTCTGAATTAATTGAAACAATGTAAGAATTTTATGTGAAAGATGACATTTAATAATGTAAGGGAAATAAAAGGACCATTTATAACCATCGTGGGAAATGACATCTGTTTCGTTATATACAGCAACTCATTTTCAGTTAATTGTTATTTCTACCCCTTTCATGTCACAGAGCACTTTATTTTGAATAAATGAGAGAACATCTGTAACTTTGTCCAGATTGGGGGAATTGTAATGTTTAATAATTAAATATTAATTATGTAAATATATGTAGTTCCAGTCAGTTTAATAAACGTTCTATACAAATGTGCAGCCTTCATTTAAAGCACACACAAACACTCAGACCACTCACACACAGAGACTGGAGATCATTTTGTGCACAGAGAAACATTCAGGAGAACAGAAACTTGTTGTCAGTGCTGCCCCACAACATTTATTAGTTAATTTGCTTTGCTACTGAAACACTACGCTACATTAAATTTCTCAGCAATGAGGTGGTAATGTTGCAGTTTTTGAAGTAAATAAACTTGCATGCACACAAACACACACACACACACACACACACACACACACAAGTAAATGTTATAATTCATTCAAATAAATATAATCTTACTACACAACTTTATCTCTGTGTCTGATTTAAAGCAGGCAGAATGTTATACCTAGGAAGCCGTAACTGACAAAAACAAACGTCATTTTTACCTTTCCGGTCTAGTTTTGCACGGCAAATCTGTAACTTTGTCCAGATTGGGGGAATTGTAATGTTTAATAATTAAATATTAATTATGTAAATATATATATATTTTTTTGCATTGGAAAAAAAAGTAGATTTTTGTTTGTATATGTTGTCAATTATAGTTTTAAGAAAGAAAATCATAATCGGCAGGTCCCACTTACAAAAAAATCGGAAATTGGAATCGGCCAATAAAATTACAATTGGTGCATCTCTACCTCTGACCCTTTGCTTGGAAGCGCAGATATTCAGTTTTACAGTATGTTGGAGACCCAGATGTGGCCCCTGGTTATGAAAACAAGGAGTTTAGTGAGGGAGTGTATAGACGCTTATGGCTGTTAGTTTTGCTGTCTGGTGTGTATCAGATAGCAAGGGGTGTAGATGTGTTGTTTGGCCTAAAACTGCAGATTTTAGGCCACATTGGTTGTCCTCTGTCACTCTTTCATGTCTTTCCCTCTTCTGTTTCTTCACTCCTAAGAAGAATTCTCATTCTTTCACACTGTAAAGAAATGTTCCTGACTCAATCCATCCCACATGCTGTCAACCACCACGTAAAATAATTATAACACGCCAATCAGTTCTTGAAATCAATCCCAACGTGTGTATATTAATACACTTACAATGGAGGTCTATGAGGCAAGGCATTGCACAAGGATACATGTTTAAACACTTAACATTTACATTTATACCATGATCTAAATGCTCGATTCTGATTGGCTGGAAAGTGTGTGTTAAAACTGTGTAATGCACAGGTATAATAATCCATCCAGCATGGCGCCGCAAATGGCAGCAAGGACGCTGAGCTCCGCGATTCTTCTATTGTTTTTGTTTGTTTGTTCTGTGTTTTGTCATTCTTCTTCTATAAGTTTTACCAGAGACGAACTCCTTAACATTAAGCAGAATAAATATAATCTTACTACACAACTTTATCTCTGTGTCTGATTTAAAGCAGGCAGAATGTTATACCTAGGAAGCCGTAACTGACAAAAACAAACGTCATTTTTACCTTTCCGGTCTAGTTTTGCACGGCAAACTCAATAACAGATTCAACCTGTCAGTGCTGGCAAGTGACCATGGTGTAAGTGGGATGATACATGATTTTTTTTCATTATTTATTTATTTATTTATTTAACACTTAACTGTAGATAGATTGGACAAATACATTCACAGGAATTACAGGAATTACCAGTAACACAATGTATAAACCACTGAAATTTAAGATTTAAAAATCTTTTATGTAAAACAATTAATACAAAATAAACAACAAGTTATATAAGCACTTAAAATCACAGGCTTATTTATTGTTTGAGATTAGTTTAAATTGTTGAAATTTAAATGGTATTCATAATTTCTTGTTCATGGTTTGTTTGTATTAAATTTGATACATACACTACCGTTCAAAAGCTTTGGGTCAGTAAGATGTTAAATGTTTTTAAAAGTCCCTTGTGTTCGCCAACACTGCATTTATTTGATCAAAATACATAAAAAATTTAAAAGAACTATTTTAATATATTTTCAAATGCCACTTTGTTCCTGTAATGGCACGTCACATAATCCTTCACAAATCATTCTAATATGCTGATTTGGTGCTCAAGAAACATTCCCTACTGAAAACAGTTGCTGCATAATTTAACATTGTAAATATATTTAGTATCACTTTTAAACAATTTAATGCATCATTGCTTAATAAAAGTATTAATTTTTTAAAAACACAACAAAAAAAATATGCCTGCTTCAGATTTTAGAACAGTAGTGTACATATATATCACCCCACATCGTGCTATCCCCTCTTCTTGTTTTCTCTCTTATCTCACCCTTTTCTTTCTGTTCTCTCTCTCTCTCTCTCTCTCTCTCTCTATCTCTCAGAGAGGGAGGTCAGAATGATTTAGAGTTGTTCAGTGCTCATTCCTGCTGAAGAGTCAGACTAGAGGAGTGCAGCTGTGGATATGAAACCTTGAGTTAACAGCCTGTTTTTCGTGCCAGAGAGCTCTTTAGTTAGCCTTTTTTTACATTTACCTATTTATTTATTTATTTTTTCCTATAGCAGTCTTCTCTCAATTTAGCGAAAAAGGTTTCTTTATCTTTTATTTACTATTTTTGGGTAATTGTTATTTTTCATGCATGGTCCCTGCGCATTATGATATGATATTTGATGCACTAAAATGTATTTTAATCAGATTTGTAGACTTGTCTGAAAGCAGCGGCTCTCATTTACATCTCCCTAATGATGTGAGTGTCAGCAGTGCAGAAGAGCTGACGCTGTGTTTTTATTTGTTTATGTAGTGAGGAGGTGAGCAGACATGGCTTCACGGTCATCGTGGATATGCGAGGATCCAAATGGGACTCTATCAAACCTCTGCTGAAGATCCTACAGGAATCGTTTCCCTCCTGCATCCACGTCGCTCTCATCATCAAGCCTGACAACTTCTGGCAGAAACAGAGGACGAATTTCGGCAGTTCCAAGTTTGAATTTGAAGTAAGGACTTTATATATTACGGATTTACATTTAATAAAGTGATAGTGAATAAGAAGTTCTGTTTTTGGTAGATTCAGTTAGATATTGTATTGAATTTGTCTAAAAATCTGTTCTGTGAGATCACAGAATCTTTCAGGGAAATAAATAAAAGAGAAAACACAGTCTACTTATGTTTTACTAGAACATTCCATATTGGTGGTGCGAAAGTAGAGCTGTCAAAATTACTTCTGACCTATTTCATCAGAGCTGAGAGGAAGACGCATGCAGTAGTGTTATATTTAATCTGAAGGCTTAATCTCCCAAAGGAAGTTTCTTAAATTAACACATCTAGTGCAGCACAACATTCAAAAGTATTATTACATTGTAATATATGTGTAATAGATACATACTAAGTGTTTATAACTGCATCACATATATGATTTGGAACTGTTTACGCCTAAACACTAGAAAATACTTCTAATTGCACTGATGTAATGCAGACCAGACTGTGTTGAAGTTCTGGTCTCTATCCACCATCAAGTTTCAAGCGTCCACTATCTCCTCATGTGTCTGCTGTTGTCTCTAATAACATGACCTGAGCTGCAATCTCTGGAATGTTTTTCTGGCTCCTTTAAGTAAAGTGTTCAGTGTAACTGATCCAAAAGGGTTTGCATTCATCATCCAATCTGTGTTTAATTGCATTGTTGTTTTAAATAACAACTTCAGTTTCTTGGAAACCTCCCACTGAGTCACTGACAAAACCGTTTCACTCAGAACCCAGAACTGCCAAAATATTGTCATACTTTGCAGTAATCTGTTTTGGTTGTTGTACAGATGTCACAAAGATGCCTCACCCACATATAAAACAATACATTGTAATATTAAATTGCAAAAATGAAGACATGGCCAAAATGCGTAAAAAACAAACAAGCTAAACTTTTCATTTGCAAACTATTAATAGTCAAGCAGGGTCACACTTTAGTTTGGGGACCAATTCTCACTATCAACTAACTAGTAACTACGACTTTTGCCTCAATAAACTCCAAATTTGCAGTTTATTAATAGTTAGTAAGGTAGTTGTTATGTTTAGGTATGGGGTAGGATTCAGGGATCTAAAATATGATCATGCAGAATAAGGCATTAATATGTGCTTATAAGTAAGGGATAATCAACGGCTAGCCTTGCATTAAAGGATTTTAAATGCACGATGTGGAGGCAAAGAACCGCCCGACGCGAAGTGCATTTAAAACCCTTTAATGCGCGGCTAGCCGTTGATTATCCTACTTATTCCATGGTCATTTGCCAAGTTATAGACAAGTTAAAACTAGTATTGCTCTTTGCACCACAATATTTGACCGAATGGGTAAAAATTAGTTATTTTCGTCAGTTACGGCACGCTAGCGCTAGCATTCTGCCCGCTTCAAATCATACACAGAGATGAAATAGTGAGGTAAGACCACATTTATTTGAATGGATTATAGCATGTATTTCAATTAATTATCGATCAATCGATCGAGAGAGAGATGACAGTTGTGTGTACCTGTTTGCTGCGTCTGTGCGTCTCTCTCTACAAACAATTACTTCAAAAACAGCGATTTTATCACCTCCACCTCGTTGCTGAGGAATATAATGTAGCGATCTAGTATCTAGGCTATTTTATTAAT